GACATGAATTTTCTAGAAGCTCATGACGTGTTACTAGTATCAAGTGACTTCCGCTGTCGTAACAGTATGCACTTACTTTTTATACTGCCTCAATAGGAAAGTCGTGAACATTTTCTTCTTCTCTCGCAATTTTCAAACAAAAACACAAGTGTGTACATTGCTTCTTACATGAACATGCTATTAGTTGTGACATATTATTTCGTAACTCTAGTTGTGTAACTTCGAAGTGACGATAAGGTTAACTACTGTTTTTGTGTTTTCTAAACGAAATATTCTTGATTTACCCTGGTCAAATAGTATTGAAATAGTGTTAACGTAAGAGAAACCTATACCAAGCGTTTTTATACAACTGCCAAATCTATTAAAACAGATAGGCCTATTCAAACACGGCTTTACTATTAATAGTCAGCATAATTCTTGCACGCTTCTAAACTACCATATTTCTTAAGCCTTGCTGATAATTTCTTAAAGTTTAGATTCAATGACTGCATTAAAGTAAAAAAGAACTCTAAGACTAACTCGTCTGGTATTTTGATATAAAATATAATTAGGTTTGGCTTCATATGTATTCCTATACTGAGTGGAAATTCAACATTTGTGACCAATGAATAAAATATGAAAATAGGCCTAAATGTACAAGAAATAATTAATTAATACCTAAATATATTTGTTTTTGTATTAAATATTTCCTTATCTGAATTAAAATTTTGCTCTGTCATGTTTTCTTTGTTCTGATAGATATTCATACTTATTCGAAAACAAATATCGAAATGACAGAAGAGAGAGAGAGAGAAAGAGAAGAAAAATCATAATTTTAAAAAATTGAATTGTCCCTAAAGTAGTTTCGTCTACATTACGCACAAGATGATTGAGCTTTCGATCAAAACTGTTTATAATGTGTGTATATAGGTTGCTCTTTAAAAATGAGAACATTAATGGCCAGAAGCCAGAATAACTGTACCACAAAATTGTACATATTATTTCTTTGGTGAATTAAGTAATTACCCAGTTCTGAGTTTCCTCCTCACTCCCAAAATTAATTCCATATATATATCGGTCGTTCACAGAGTTTAAATATATATATAAAAAAGGAAAAAACCAGACCAATATTCTGAGATATTAAGTGTTCCTTCAAGTTGCATTACCAGTAAAGTTCATCTTTCCATTGTTTAAAGAGAGGTTTTCTTTTTGCCATATTCATTTCAATCTCCTTAAACATGTGATTCTGAGAAAAGCCAATGAGAAGCAAGGGTTAATTTTGGGCTTGACGTAAATGGGTAAATATGGGTACACGTCATTTCACACTCGTGACAATATGCGCTGAATGCGCACAGCAACGCGCAGCGGTGAAACCAGTATATTGCCGGCTTCTAGCAGTTATAGTCAGTTCGTTACGTAACTGCTGCATTCTGAACTTCTCTGAAATCTTATTGTAAAAGTACAACTCTAAAGTACTATATCATTAAACAATGGTGTTGAAAGAATCCTCTTGTACACCTTTTGTGGTAAGTATCTTTTTGTAGAATGTCTTCACATTTAATAGTTGTTTGTAACTAACGTTAAGATATTAATTATTTTTAGTTCGAATTGAGGCTAGTTCAATAAGTTATTTGAAGCATATTTTCAGCTTTGTACTGAATAAACTGCGCCACGAAGGGATTCGCGTTTTATTGCTCGAGTTGGCTACGTTTTCGCGACTAAATAAGTTGCCTGAAACTTAAACCTCAAAATTAAATATTACACTGTCTGATACGCTGCTCTCGCATGGCAGACACCTTGAAGTAATATTTGAAAACAACCTGTACTAATGTGGCACATGCGCACAAAAATTACTCAAATTACACGAAATGAAGTGGGGAATGAAGTACGAAGCTGGTCGTAAATTTGAGTCACAAAAAACTATTACTATTTTATGACAAACGACAAGGCGACGTTTGTCATAAAACAGAAGTAGTTTTCTGTGGCTCTAATTCACGACCAACTGCGTACTTCATTCCCACAAATAATTTCGTTAAGATTTTTTGATTTTTCTACGCATGTGCAGTATTAGTGCAGATTGTTTTAAATGTTATTTCAAGATGTCTGTTACGAAAGGGTTGCGTGTCAGACGTGTAATATTTAATACTGAGGTTCAAGTGTATCGGGCCTCTTGTTTCGTCGCGAAAACGTAGCCAGCTCGGATGCGTAAGTTTATATTTGTATCAGGGACGTTTTAGTTTTTATTTTATTATTATTCGTGAAATATTGAAGGAAATTGTCTTTGGACTGGGCTGTCGCACAAATCTGACTAGGCCATGTGTAACTAACTGAATATACCAGCACTATTAGTAGAATTAATTGTAACTATGAGTAATCAAAGGAATCAGTAATTATTGTTCTAATAACACAGATTTTGCAGAATATTGTGTCAGTGAGAATACATCAACTTTAAGTATTTTGTTTTTTATTATAATGTGACTGTTGGCACTTCATGCAACTGCAAGTCGGCAAGATCCACTACCAAAATTAAACTTTTCCTGTTCAAAATCAGTTTTAAATGTTAATGTTAATTGATTCACTTTTAAACTCTACAGAAGTTGTAAAATAGTTATACGTAGAAACTTCATTGTCCTCAGTTGGAGAATAAAGACGCTTAAATTTAGACAATGGCCAGAATAACCTTCCTCTCTCAACTATTTTAAGTTTTGCAAATTTGGAAGTTATTATAACTATCAGCTGTCATGAAGTTGCTTCACTGTTTCATAAATTAGTTTATCATCAATTTAGCGATCTCTAATATATTTAAGGTTTTTTCTTAAGGTAAGTGCTATATGGTACTTATTATAGGTAGTGCTTAAAAGCAATGATTTCATACTTCAAACAAATGATAAAACTTTTATGTTTTTATTCACATTTACGGCTGACGGTTATGGCTGCTTCTGTTTCAGAGTTTTGACGTCTAATTTTCGTGATATATCTGGCTGGCTCGCCTGCTAAATTCACGCATGGATATGTCGAAAGCTATAAACATACGGCAAGACTTTGAGAAACATTTTAACTAAGAAAAAAATCCGGTAGTGGCTTTTATGATCAACTTCCGTCTCACAACGCTCCCAGAATTTTTGATTTAACATAAGACGTACATATGTTTTATTTATGTAATATATAAGTGCTATCGACAGAACTATGAGTGCGCATGGCGTCGGTATATATTCGATAAGTTCTTTAAGCTAAAACTAGAAAACACTAAAATGAAAAAAAACAAAAAAGAACAAAACTTAGCGAGGTATTAGGCAGATGTGATATTTCTTGGAGGTGGATATATCATCTGAAATAGTACTCAATTCCTCATAGATTGGTGTACGTTTCTACTCGCGATAAAATGGCGTAGTAAGGCCTACTTTGTTACTAATGTTAGTTACGAAAAGAAGAGGAACACGCTCCAAATTGAAAAGAGGAAGAAGAGATGACTGTTTTAGCTCGACTTTTCAAAGCATATTTAGTGCATTGATTTGTGGAGGACAATGGTGAAACTTAGGTAGTTTTCACAAACGTAGTTGTAAACTTGTGGCGTGTGTCAGGATATTAATTAAATCTTAAATTTGCGCCCTTGAATTATACATGCACACGTAGTCTGCATATAATGTTTAGTTTAATTGTTAAGTTTATGTAACCAACTGGCACATTCATAAAAGTACAACTGATATATTATCAGTAGTTTATGTACATCTCCATATTATAAAATATTAATTGTATTAATTTATTTTGTAAGTAAACAAAAAACAAACAAAAAAAACTAAGGTGGCGCCAGTTGAGTTACGACGATAGAGCTTACCATGAACCACAGTAGTGTTTCATAATAGGGATCGCCCATTTGTTTCTCTGTATTACTATTTAATATTGTTCCACCACCAGCCTACAGCAAAAATGACTGAGTATTGTAATCAAACATGGGCAGTATTACTAAACGCATAATTGTGCATTGTAGTTTTAAGTTTATTTTACTGCATAGCAAATAGCAGCGACTGTATAACCGTTGATACCCAATCGTTTTAATGTAGTCTGTGGTTAATATGGAGCCTCATAATCTACTACATCCATACGTATATAGTTGCGTGCAGGCCGTGGATGTAATTTAATGCTTTTGTTGCAGCCATGACACACATACCATAGCGATTATTAACTTGTTGTTATAACTGTATTGATGTCGCCTATCATTTGTTTATATTTAGTGTTCCTGCTCTTTCGGACACGACGCTTCTGACAAGATCAGCTGTTTTTTGTTTTGTTTTAATGACTGCATGATCGATTTCGGCTATGTTACACTGTCGTATATTTGCATTGAATTTACATGCTTGCATCTATACAACTTGAAAAATTCATGTGGCAATATCTATCTACCTGTATATATGTATATACGGCTTTACAAGGTGCACTATAAAACCTGCACGTGTGTGTTTGTATGTGCACGTATAAAACTCGTGCGGTTAAAGAATCCAGTCCATGCACCAATCCACTGTTTACACACTCCCCATATAGCTACAAGGTATAAATATATACATAACATATGGTATGCTGATCACCATATATCATAATGATCATACGTGCAGTGCCACTATCAGTAACATTATGGCAATGATATCAGGAGCAATTGTCACCCAATACGCATGAAGCCAATCCACAGATTGTCATTGTTTCCCGAGAGATCATCATACACCAACTACGTGTGTCATTAAACTAAATTGTTTCAAATAGACAGTATTGCTATTATACAGATTTATGTGCATAATGGGCACACAAAAAACTAAAGAAACAAAATTATTATAAGTTGTTAATTTAAAAAGGGGTAATGGGGATTTTTAAAAAACAAGATAGGTAGCTTAGTGAAAATGCAATCGCAAAAGTAAACAACCTTAAGATTTGAGACATCGTGTTGACATTATTTTCTCAAGTTATAAATATAATTAAGTGAAAGCATTCAGATCATTACGCAAGATGTTTGAAAAAGGAGGCTGCGACTAATTCAAGCCCAAAATGCTAATACTCTATTAAAAGAACGTAGAATATGTAGTAAACGCTAAGTACCATAAATAGCTGCGCTATACCTACATAAGCATAATTTTTTTACATCAAAGAAATATGGGGTTCGGCCGGACCCCCCTTCCCCTGCGTAGGTGTGCGGTATTTCTTGTTATATTGTTCCTGCTATAAATTTGTCTCTCATGAGTGAATTCTGTCGAGCAGTCTTTTATTGGCTTGAGGTTTATCGTAAAATACGGAACAACTATCGTTGATGTTCACTCTTGAGTTACTTTAATTTTAAATGAATGATTCAAGACTTGAAAATCAAGCATCGGCTGTAAACAGCGCTTATCACTTGCATAAACTATTTATCTATTTTGATTGGTGTAAAATCACGTGCTAAGTGACGTATGCATTAGTAATAGAATTTTGTTTGCTATCAACTTGAGAGGATGAACAAAAACTAATTTCCATACTTTTTTTTAAAGTCCATATCTGTTTAATGACGGTTTTGAGAGGCCCAATGTACTGAATACAAAAAGGATTTATCGGAACTCCGAGACAACATTTCCAAAATTGAAATTATGATAGCCCCCAAACCGGGACATCAGGTCATCCTATGGCTAGAAACTAGGCATTTACTGTTATTTTGACAGATCCCTCTTACCAAAAGACACGCTTCTTAGTCACATGAATTCTGGTATTTATTACTTTTTGTTTATTTGTTATCGCATATTAAGAGTGTGAACTGTACGGTTAAGTTTGCAGCATCTGGATGTAGAATGCCGGTTTTTGGCTTTATTGCTCTTAACCGGGAAAGCAAGAGCTTATATTTCTAAAACACTGGACATTTTTTTAATACACAAGTGTATTTGAAGGAACTGACTATATAATTTATATCTCCAGAACAACTTTTGTTTTTTCCTCAAAACTGTTGATGTTGAACCCAATTTGTTTGAGTTTTTGAAAGCTAACAAAATTGATGAGAATTCGTAGGTTACAAGTCAAAGGTTAAAGGCAACCTGTTTGTTGTAAAAGTAGCTATCTCAATCCATCAAGGGGAAAGATCACATGACACCACCTATGTATTAACTAGTTGTTTTATGAGGATAGATACCAAAATGGATTTACTCTGATAGTCTGAAGGACATTTATATCCGATATTTATGTGCATTTGGAAGGCTTATTGTACTTGTAGAAACTGGTACTTTTGCGTAATGTGTTCATTTCGATGTTCAGAAAGGATCTGCACTTTATTAGGTGTCATCAAACTTCATTGTCAACTTGAAATCTACCATGTTTTATGTATGAGACCATTGTTATACTTTATATACGATACTCCTCTCTATGATGCTTATTTGTATTGGGAAACTTGCTTATTATTATTATTTAATTTGTTTCAATGAGCTAGTGGTTGCTTAACCATCATGAAATACAAGTACGATTAAAATTAAAGAGGTCAATATTCGTGGGCGGATGCAACATGTATTCACCACGCAATCCC